GAATGTCAAAGAGCAAATTAAGGCAGGAGGGAAGCTGGACTCCAGGACAGTGATGAGACCAAAAACCTTGGGAATTCTACAGGGCCACTCCTTGGGACACTTCATGATTTTAAAGCCACAAGAACCAAGGTACCTGGAGAAAAGGATCATGTTGCTTTGTAAAAATTAAGTCAAAGCTGTATCCAGGCGCGGGTGGTGCATGCCTGTAATCCCAGCGGCTCGGGGAGGCTGAGGCAGGAGGATCGCAAGTTCAAAGCCAGCCTCAGCAACCGCGAGGTGCTAAGCAACTCAGTGAGACCCTGTCCCTAAATAAAATACAAAAAAGGGCTGGGGATGTGGCTCAGTGGTCAAGTGCCCCCGAGTTCAATCCCCAGTACCAAAAAAAAAGAAAAAAAAATCAAAGCTGCAATAAATTGGACAAACTGTACCACTTGTTCAGAAATATAAGTAAAGGGGCTGGGGATACAGCTCAGTTGGTAGAGTGCTTGCCTCCCATGCACAGGCCCTGGGTTCAATCCCCAGCACCACACACACACACACACACACACACACACACACAAAAAAAAAGACTGGGTAGGTGGCTTAGCAGTAAAGTACCCCTGGGTTCAATCTCCAGTACCAAAGGGGGAAAAAAAAAAAGAAATCTAAGTAAAAAGATGTCATCAACACATAAGAAACCAGACCAAGCATCCGTCACCTCTATACCTCTTATTCTGGGGCCTGGTGTTGTCCGCACAGTGCATTTCCAGCCTGTGCTCATAGTGACAATTCCCTGTGAACTCATATCTAGCAAGACCACCAGGGGGACCGGCAACCTGCAAATGATTCAAAGGAATCCACTTCATTAAACATAGGCTGAAGGAACTAACATGGACCAAGAATTGTGCTTGGGCCAAGGAGCCCTAGACCAAGGAGGAACAGCACTCAATGCATGCTCACTGGGTCTTCAGACTTTTTAATGAAGAGCTGAGAAACACGCAAGACTGACTGTAGCCCAACAGAGCTCCATGTGATGTTTCCTTAAAAGTGGCCACAATTTCTTTGTCCCTCCTGTCATCCAGGCTGTGTTCCCTCCCACTGAAGCTGGGCATGCTGGGGCTGCTCTGACAGAATACAGTAGAACTGACATGGGGTGACTTCTGAGTCTGGTCCTTTAAGGACCATGCAGCTTCCTCTCACTCCTCTTGGAAATGCTCATTTTCTGGAAGCTCCCTTCTGGAACACGCCCTCAGAACCTGGCTACCATGCTCTAAGTCCCAGTCCCATGGAGAGACCATCTGCCATGTTCTGTTGCCTGTCCCAGTTGAGCTCAAACTTCAAATCATTCCAGCCCAGACAACAGATGAGAGCAAGAAGGAATTTCCAGATGAGTCCAGGCCCAGAAAGCCCCCCCCCCCCCCCCCCCCCCCGACTTCCCAGAACAAAACACAAGTTATCCCTGTAGGGCCATCCATAGGCCTCATCCACAGAATCCTCAGCATGACAAACAGCTGTTTCTGCCACTTCTAACTCACAGTTTGTTACACAGTGGCAGACAACCACCAAAAGAGCACACCATCATGGCAGATACCCTCAGGTAAGGAATTCAATATGGCGGTACCAGAAAGACACTCACACTTGAGAATATGTGCACAGAGGCTTTAAGGAAGCAAAGCACTAAAAGAGAACACACCGAGGGCTTAGAAGGCCAGTCCCTGGAGCTGCAGCCTTTTCTGTAGGTTCATGCTCCTGACCAGCAATCTCAAGGTCTTGAAGATGCACCTTCCCCCCTTTCTATGGGAGAACTTCCCCCTCCCCTTCTGGTCCACGTCCTGTTTCACATCAGACTGTCTCTTTCACCCCCTCTCCTCAGCTGAGCACAGAGGCTGGTCAGGAGAAGCACCAAGTTATTGAAGAGAACACTAAGAAATACAGGGAAAAGGATGGGGTGTCCTGAGGTGTCATTTCTCCACCCCACCCTCCTCTCTCAGGTCTCCAGATACTGCTTCCCTGCTTTGGTGGATACATATGACAGAAAGAATCAAAGGAGCATTTAATAAGCACCAGCTACACGGCAAGTCCTGTGCAAGGTGCATTTATAATGACGTCTGTGTGTGTTTTGCTGGGGATCGAACCCGGAGGCCTCACACATCCTACGCCAAGTCCTCCTGCACTGGGCTACTCAACAGCCTGCATTCGCTTAAGCAGAAACTGAAGCCGTGCAAGGTGGCATGCGCCTGTAATCCCAGCAGTTTGGGAGGCTGAGGCAGGAGGATCAGGAGTTCAAAGCCAGCCTCAGCAAAAGCAAGGCATTAAGCAACTCAGTGAGACCCTGTCTCTAAATAAAATACAAAATAGCACTGGGGATGTGGCTCAGTAGTCGGGTGCCCTTGAGTTCCGGTACTCCTCCCCACCAAAAAAAGAGGAAATTGAAACTTATAAGTGAATCACTTTCCTGTGACTGGGCTGACAGTTGTGAGTACGAACATGAACCCGGGTTTCTGTTCCCAAAGCCTATCTTGTTTCACACTAGGAGACAATGCAGCTGGTTTGGGAGCTTTGGGGGACTTCAGCTCATGGGAGGTTCTCTCACATGTGAGAATGCAGGTAGGGCAACTGGAGCGGGACTGGCTCAGAACCCTCACTGGGCATTTACAGACAACTGAAAGGCCCTTAAGACAAGGGGTGGCTGAGGGGGTGTTGCGTAGGCAGACCAGGAGCAGGGGCCAGGCTTAAAGTCAGTCACCTTGCTCCCACCACCTGGACAGTGACCTGATTTTGCATGAGCCACTGGTCCCTACTAGCCATGTATTCAACCACAGACAGATAGATCCTTCACAATGACTAAAAGTGATTTCAGAAAATGACTTTTTTTTTTTCATAAAGGGGAGAAACAAAGACCACACAAGATCATTTCCTATTTGTGTCATTTGACATAAGACATATTGCTTGTTGGGGAAAACAATGAAAAAAACCCAACCTCAGATTAGTGTTCAACGATTTTCATTCTGAATAAACTGGATTTACTAAGAAACAAAGATGGACAGATTGACAGAGGAAGAAAAATACACTGTATAGCCTGAGGTAGAGAAGGGAAGGGAGAGAAGACAGAAGGAGCCATAACTCTGGTAATTTTAAGGGTAACTGTGTCTCTTCCTCATCACTAAACTGGCCTTCAGAAAGATGTCCTGAATTTGCTCGAGTTCTTAAAAAGTTAAACGTATGAACAAACAAAGAATTGAACAAGAATATCTATACCAGCATTATTCATAATAGTTAAAAACTGGAACGAGCCAGGTGCAGTGGTGCATGCCTGTAATCCCAGTGGTTAGGGAGGCTGAGGCAGGAGGATCACGAGTTCAAAGCCAGCCTCAGCAAAAGCAAGGCGCTAAGCAACTCAGTGAGACCCTGTCTCTAAGTAAAATACAAAATAGGGCTGGGGATGTGGTTCAGTGGCCAAGTGCCCCTGAGTTCAATCCTCGGTACCAAAACAAAACAAAACCTGAAAACAATTCAAATGCTTATCAGTTGACAATCAGGCACACAAAACATGGTGCATATTCCATTGTATATGGAATATTGCATGGCAATGAAAAGGAGCAGTTCCTGTACATGCTACACCATGGATAAACCTCAAACACATTTATGATAAAGGAAAGAAGCCTGACAAAGAAGATGATACCCTGTGATCCCAGTTACAAGAATTTTTCTTTTTTAATATTTATTTTTTAGTTTTCGGCAGACACAACATCTTTGTTTGTATGTGGTGCTGAGGATCGAACCCGGGCCACACGCATGCCAGGCGAGCGCGCTACCGCTTGAGCCACATCCCCAGCCCCCAAATTTTTCTTTCTTTCTTTTTTTTTGGGGGGGGTACTAGGGATTGAATTTAGGAGTATTTAACCACTGAGCAATATCCCCAGATCGTTTTTATATTTTATTTGGAGACAGGATCTCACTAAATTCCTGAGGCTGGCTTTGAATTTGTGATCCTCCTGCCTCAGCCTCCTGAGCCACTGGGATTACAGGTGTGCACCACCACACCTGGCTAAGAAATTTCTAAGGAAGGCATCCCTACAGGGTCAGAAAACAGGCTAAACATTGCCTAGCGGTAGAGGTGGGAGTGAACATTGACTGATTATGGGCAGGAGAGAACTTTCTGGGGTGAAGGAAGTCTTCTAATTTGGTGATGGCAGCACAGCTGCATAAATTTGGTAAAACTCATGAAATTGTCCCTAAATCTAGATGGTTTTATGGCATGTACACTCCAAATCAATAAAACTGTTTAAATCAGGATATTCTGCAGGTCATATAAATGTGGGCTGCATATAAACCCAGAACACAGTGGTTTACTGGAAGGGTGATGGAGAATGTGGTAAACTTCAGAGACCATCAATGGTCTGGCTAGGTTAGCACAGGCCTGATCAGAAAACCTGGAATACTAAAGTCTGCTTTATGATAGATTCAATCTAAGAAGTCTAAATAGCAGGTAATACAGTTGCCCTTATTTTCAGAGATAACATTCATATATAGAATTAACTTTTAAATCATTAATTCATGGACAGACAGATCCAAAACAAGGTTATTCAGAGAAATTAGGAATGACAGAAGGCACATCTTACTTTTAAGAATGACATGGTAGGGGCTGGGGATATAGCTCAGTTGGTAGAGTGCTGACCAGGCATACATAAAGCCCTGGGTTCAATCCCCAGCACCACAAAAAAAAAAAAAAAAAGACATTGTAGATAGCAAAAGCAATACCTAGGAGAGGCAGCAGGAGGAGGAGGATGGGTTGAGTGGAGTCCAGTGTGGTACTATGTATGCTTGAAGATTCCAGAAACTTCTGGGCAAGGGATGGGATGGCCCTCTAGAAGGGGGAAGGGATGGAACCCCATAAGATTCTCTCAGCAACAAGTGAAAATACTCTGGCTTTGGAAGGAGATAGATGAGGTTTGGAACCAACTGTTCTGTGCTGAAGTTTTCAATGTTCACATCTGTAAAACAGGTTTGCTGCTACCCACCTTACAGTGTGGTCCTGAAGATCAGATGATCAAGTATGGGGCAAGTACACCATCCAGTGAGGTCACTCCTCTCCACTGCCCGCCGTCTAGGGACTCTGTGCTGGTCTCTGAGGAAGTGCAATTTATTAAATACATATGCTTTCAAAGGAACAGCCTCACATTTCTTTCCAAAACTTACCAGTGTTTGGCCAGTCCTGGGGAATGACTTTATGTTTTCGGTCATTTAACAGTGGAAGGGTAATGAGGCTGTGGGTCCAGGGAGCTCCTCCTTCACCTTGTGGGCCACATCCAAACATCAAATGGTGCTGACCTCTAGAGAAAGAGGCTGAGTTTAAAAATTAAGGTCTAGTCTGTTGGTCTCAACCCATATATACCTCCTGCAGCTGGCTCACCCAGAGTTTTAAAATTCTCTGTTGAATCCCAGGTAGTTCTTATTTGTGCCTATGAGAGAGGGAAAACACACTGCCAATGAAAATGTTGTAGACCAGCACAAAACATCCTTCCCTTCTCCTTCCTTTACAAAACCCACGTTCTCTGTAAAGAACTTCGAACAAGCCAGGAGCGGTGGCGCACACCTGTAATCCCAGTGGCTCGGGAGGCTGAGGCAGGAGGATTGTGAATTTAAAGCCAGCCTCAGCAATTTGAAGAGGCCCTAAGCAACTCAGAGAGACCCTGTCTCTAAATAAAATATAAAAAAGGGCTGGGGATGTGGCTCAGTGATTAAGTGCCCCTGAGTTCAATCTCTGGTACAAAAAACAAAAACAAAACAAGAAAAAAGCAAATATAGATGAGAAAATATAGTGAACCACTAATATATAGTGAACCACTCCCAAATGCCTATGGCCCTGAGATAATCATATCAACATTTCATTGATGTGATGCCAAACCTTTCCAATGCAGAATAGGTGGGGATTACATAGGCAACATATGGTTAGACTAGCCAGATTCCAACTCCATCTCTGCCACTTACAACAGTATGATCTGGGAAATCAGGAAGATGATGGTACATTCCTCAGCAATCTTCTGAAAGTGAATTAAACATATACTCTGCTCAGAAGCATGCATGGAAGAAAACATAATAACTGAGAGCTACTGCCCATGTCCAGACAGGCATACAATACAACAGTGTCCCCCACATGTATAGGCCTGTCCACGGCACGTACACAAGACTGTGGTAAGAAGAATGAGATCACTTGATACAATATGAAAGATATTTTTATATAAATAAATATAGATCTGCATCACTCTTTTTTTTTTTTTTTTTTTAAGTACCAGGGATTAAACTCAGGGGCACTCGACCACTGAGCCACATCCCCAGCTCTATTTAGTATTTTATTTAGAGATAGGGTCTCACTGAGTTGCTTAGCGCCTCACTAAGTTGCTGAGACTGGCTTTGAACTCACGATCCTCCTGCCTCCATCTCCCGAGCTGCTTAGATTACAGGCGTGAGCCACCGCGCCTGGCTACATCACCCTTTTCACAGCTAAATACTGTCTACTGTACAGAAGCACCATACCGCGTACACCAGGCAACCGTTGATCACTTAGTTTGTTTGCATAACTGTTTGGAGCTGTACTTACAGGTTGCCTAGTAGATATCACAGAAATTCACAAGCAAGTCAAATAAGGATCGGAAAAGCAACCGTCCATTAAATCAAACCAAGACTCTCTTCTGTTCCTTTGATCCTCAAGCTAGTGAAGTGGCTTCTTCAGCCCACTCAAGTCTAGTTGTGATTTAAGTCAGACCACATAGCTTAATACCTGCCCAACATTAAAAACAGGACCATTGTGAGTTCAAAGCCAGCCTCAGCAACTTAGCAAGGCCCTAAGCAACTCAGTGACACCATGTCTCTAATAAAATACAAAAAGAGTCTGAGGATGTGGCTCAATGGTTAAGTTCCCCTGGGTTCAATTCCCAGTACCAGAAACCAAAAAAAAAAAAAAAAAAAAAAAGGCTCATCATATTTCATTATAAATTTATTTAGCAAAAAGACAACATGATTCTTAATTAAAATTAAAATCAAAATCAGGAATACTTCCAATACTTCCACTCCGACTGTGCAGATCTGTCTGGGTATCACTGCTGTCACCTCCCTCACACATCCAAGGTGGCCCCTGAGGGTGGGGCACGGACATAGCATGGCTGCCAGGAGACCTCAGGTGAAAACACATCCCCTAAATTCATTTTCTAAACCAACTCTCCGGAGAATATCAGCATTACAATGTCCGAGGTCTGTGCGGGGGGGCCAGAATCCCAAAGCGTCACCATCATCATTCATAGTGTTGCCATGAGTCTTTAGTAGGCGGTTCTGAGAAGGAATAATTGGTGGCCACAGGTCTGTTGATAACAGGCGTGTCCACCAGCTCCACGGTGCACAGTCCCGGGCCACAGGCGCTGCAGGGCGCTCGCTCTAGTTCCAGCACCGTGATGTTGTTTGGGGCCGAGGTTGTTAGGATGTGCCGTGGCACGAACAAGGTCATCTGGGGGCCCTGTGCTGGCCAATAGCGGCCAAGGTTAAAGCCGTTAATCCACACCTGCCCCTGGAAAGAGAGAGAGACAGAGACACAAAAACCCATCAACCCTGGATGTACGGGCTGTCCTGAGGAGCGTGGGAACCTGATGGACAGAATCCAGCAGCAGTGGGGCAAGAAGTGCCCCAAGGGAGGTGGGCTGAGAACCAGGCCCAGGCTAGCCTTGGTTCAGATGCTGGAGGGGGGCAGGAACAACAACGCCTCGCCCCAGACACCTACTCCTTCAGGAGAACGGAGGCTTGGTCTGCCTGACCGGCTGCAGCAGTGACAAACGCCAGTCCTGGAGCCCAGTGAGGCAGTCACAGGTGTCTGACTGCTGTCCTGGCCCAGGGTCCTGCGTTTATGGCTCTGTACACCACCGCTCCCTGACTTTCCTCTGCACAGAAAAGATCCTCCGAGCTGCTTCCTCCTAGAGATGTGCTTTCCTTATTTGTTCTCCACTCCTGGAGGCGGGTCTCGGCCACATGATCTGCTGTACATTCAGTGCACACACCCGGGGCAAGGAACTCCAGGGCCTGCAGCCTTCAGACAGGCAGGTCTCAGGAGCCATTCCCCCAAACAAATCCCTCGAGATGGATATGAGGTCTGGGGGAAGGAGGTCAAAGGGGCCCATTCAGTTGGGCATCTTCATGAATGCTGGGTCCCTCTCAGAGCATGGACCTCACATTCCTTGCAAGCAGCAGAGGCGATCCTACAAGCTGCAAAGATAATTCCTGGGAGCAGGGGCAGCTGCTTCCTGTAACAACACTGAAAGAGGAGGAAAAACTTTTGCAGGGCAGGGACCATGGTTGGTGTATCTGTATAGCTTCCCTGTGCAGGCGAGGGTTTGCTCATAGAAGGTGGCTGAATAGAAGGAATGTTCTATTACAAAGAAAGTATGTGTGAGTATGGGGGGGGGGGTCGTCACATACCTATGCAAAACAAAATCCGGGAAAGGAAGGAAGGATGATTGACAGGAGGGAGGGAAGAAGGAAGAAGGGGGTGGGGGGAATGGGATGAAGGAGGAAAGAAAGTGCTACCCCCAGTGGTCCAAATACAGCTGGAGACACCCTGGTCCCCATCATGCTATGACACAACTGCAGGTGTTCCCCCTAGAGTCACTTTACCTTTGGGAATGTTTTAGCCCCCCAGTGTCCCTATATTCTAACTCCTTCTGAATGTCTTACCTGGGTTCATATATATATAATTTTTAAAATTTTTTTTTTTTTTAGGTGTAGATGGACACAACACAATGCCTTTATTTTTATGTGGTGCTGAGGATCGAACCTGGGTCCCGCCCATGCTAGGCAAGCGCTCTACCGCTGAGCCACAATCCCAGCCCCTCACATATATATTTCAAAAATTTTTTTAGTTGTCAATGGGCCTTTATTTATTTATACATGGTGCCGAGAATCGAACCCAGTGTCTCACACTGAGCTACCAGCCTCTGAGTTCATATCTTAGTCCTGCCACTTCTTAACAGTCAGACCTGGGGCAAGTCTCAACTCCATTTTTCATACCAGTAAAATGGGGAGGATGGTGACAGAAGGAAACCGTGCACATGTGGTGGTCTGCAGAGCCTGGCTGGGGAAAGCACACCTAATTGGAGATACTCCTTACTTGTCTGGAATGGAAGCCCAGGTTGCTCACAGCCCACCGAAGGGGCCCAAGATTGAAAACCACTCATCTGTTGGATTAACTCATATAGAAAAAAGGATGACAGTTTCACAGTTCTCAGAACTCTTTTACTCTTGTTTTTTACCACGGGATGTTACCTCCATCTATCCTAAAAGATAATATACCACAACAGTCTTGTCGAGTTTTCATCAGTTTAAAATCTGTCAGGGTCTTGGTTTTACAGTATTAGAGAGCAGTGCCACCGTACTTTTGTGGTCAAGGGGAAGATGTCTTCAAAAATCAGATTAGCGAGAGGGCTTTGAGAGCAGAACATGAGGAACGGTGTGGACTGCAGCCTTCACGATAGGTTCCCAACCAAAGCCACGTCAGGTAGGGCACGGTGGCACATGCCGGTCATCCCAGTGACTTGGGAGGCTGTGGCAGCAGGATCGCAAGTTCGAGTCCAGTTTGGGCAACTTATCAAGACCCCGTCTCAAAATATAAAAGTGGAGCACACGTGTAATTGTAGTGGTTTAGGAGGTGGAGGCAGGAGGATCGCAAGTTCAAAGCCAGCCTTAGCCATTTACTGAGGCCCTAAGCAACTCAGTGAGACCCAGTCTCTAACAGAAAAACGGGCTGGGGATGTGGCTTAGTGGTTCCTTGTCCTCCTGTTTGCCACTTGTTATCACTGTGCCCAGTTCACAGCAGGCTCAACCATGACTTCATGTGCCTTCTTCAAGGATCTTAGAGCTATGTAAACTTAACCCCGATATGGGGAGAAATTTCAGATGAAAAATACAGACGTTTGACTTTATTTTTCCCCTTTATTAAATTTTTTTTTAGCTGTCAATAGACCTTTACTTATTTATTTTTTTAATATGCAGTGCTGAGAATCAAACCCAGTGCCTTGCACATGCTAGGCAGGTGCTCTACCACTGAGCCACCACCTCAGCCCCCTTTCCCATTTTTAATACATGTATTTGGTAAAATTAACATTTAACCTGGGTGGGGAAGTACCCACGTATACTTCCTAGTTCTTAAGGAAGCTGAGGTACATATTAAAAAGTTCAAGGACAGTTTAAGCAATTTAATGAGGCCCTGTCTCTCAATGAAAAATTAAAAGGGATAGGGATGTAGGGGAAAAAAACTATCTGGCCCTAGAGTTTCTTTTATATTATTATTATTAGTAGTAGTGATGGTGGTATTTGTTACTAGTGATTAAATCCAGGGGCGCTTTACAACTGAGGTACATCCACAGTTTTTAAAAAATATTTATTATTATTTTTTAAGTTGTAGATGGATACAATACCTTTATTTTATTTATTTATCTTTATGTAGTGCTGAGGATCAAACCCAGTGCCTCACATGTGCTAGGTGAGTGCTCTAACACTGAGCCACAACCGCCAGCCCCATTTTCAAAAGTTTGAGGCAAGGTCTTGCTAAGTTGCTGAGGCTGGCCACCACCTTGCCATCCTCCTGCCCTACCCTCTCAAATTCCAGGGATTACAGGCATGTGGGTGTTTCCTTTATAGGAAGATTTTGTTTAGTTTTTTAATTCACACATTCAAGTCTTTTAATGAATATAGGGTTATTTTGATTTTTCCGTTTTTTTTTTCTTCTGTCAGTTTTGTTAGGTATAGGACACTTTCAATTTCATCTATCTTTTCAAATTTTTAGCTTATTGACAGTATCCTCTTAAGTCTGGTAACATAGCTTCTTATTACCAGATTAGTGATTAGTTTTGTCATCTGTTTTGTTTTTTTTTCCTTGATCAGTCTTGTTAGATGGCTGCTGCTGCTGTTGCTTTTTAATTTTTTTTTCCAGGAACCAACTTTTGACTTCATTGATTTTCTCTTGCACATTTTTTTTTTATTTCATTAGATTCTACTGTTATTATCTTTAAGGCTGAAGCATTACATGCATGCAGAAAAATGCAGTCTATCCTCCCATTTTCGTGAATAGGTAGAATATTGTCAAAATGGCCAGACTACCAAAAGCAATCTACAGATTCAATGCAATCCCCTTAAAAATACCAATGACATTCTTCACAGAATAAAAAGACCATCCTAAAATTCATTTGGAAGAATAAAAGAACCAGAATAGCCAAAGCAAATTTAAGTCAAAAAAGCAACGCTGAAGGCATCACAATACCTGACTTCAAATTCTACTACAGAGCTATAGTAACAACTACTGAATGGTACTGACATAAAAACAGACACATAGACCAATGGTACAGACACAGAGACAACCCTACACAGATATAATTATCTGATCCTTTACAAAGAGGCCAAAGACACACTGGAGAAAAAGAGAGCCTTTTTGACAAATGGTGCTGGGAAAACCGATTATCCATATGGAAAAGAATGAAAGTAGACCCCTATTTCTAACTTTGCACAAAAAAATCAACTCAAAATGGATCAAAGATGTAGGAATTGGACCAGAAACTATGTAACGCCTAGAAGAAAACACAGGGTCAACACTCCAGCATGTCGGCACAGGCAACAACTTTTTGAACAGGACCCCTAAAGCTTGAATTTTTTTTTTTCTTTTTTCAGTACTGGGGATAGATTAAACCCAAGGACACCTAAAGCTCAAGAAATAATGCCAGGAGTTAATAATGGGGATGGCATTAAATTAAAAAGCTTCTGCACAGCAAAACAATCAATTAGGCATGTGAAGAGAACCTACAGAATGGGAGACAATCTTTGTTAGCTTCTCTTCTGACAGAAGATCGATATCTAAACTATATAAAGAACTCAAAAAATTAACACCAACCTTCCCAATAACCCAATTGATAAATGGGCAAATGAATTAAAGAGACATTTCTCAGAAGAAGAAATACAAATGACCAACAAAACAAATATATGAAAAAAAAATGTTCAATATCATTAGCAATTAGGGAAATGCCAATCAAAACTACACTGAGATTTCATCTCACACCAGTCAGAATGGCAGCCATCAAGAACAAAATAATAAGTGCTGAAGAGGATGTGGAGAAAAAAGGAACACTTTTTACGCTGTTGGTGGGATTGTAAAGTAGACAAGCCACTATGGAAATCAGTATGGAGGTTCATCAAGAGGCTAGGCATGGAACCTCCAGGGACCCAGCTATGCTACTCCTTGGTATTTATTCTGAAGAATTAAAGTCATCATACTATAGTGACACATGCAGACCCATACTTATATCAGCACGATTCACAGTAGCTAAACTACGGAACCAGCCTAGGTGTCTATTAATGAATGAATGAATGGATGAAGAAAATGTGGTATACATACACAATAGAATTTTACTCAGCCATAAAGAAAAATGAAATGTCACTTGCAAGAAAATGGGTGGAACTAGATACCACTATGTTAAGTGAAATAAGCTAAACTTAAGGTCAAGGGTTGTATGTTCTCTCTCTTATGTGGAA